ACCACAGCACATGTCTCTTGCAAGGACAAGGTTGGGGGTAGGGTCACAGATTAACAGCATCTCAAATACAGAACAAAATGGAGTCTCTCATGTCTACTTCTTTCTATATAGACACAGTAACAGTCTGATCTTTCTTTTCTTTTCCCCACAATGACTAAGACCTCAAAAGTGCAGGCAATAAAAACACAAATAGACAAATGGAACTTAATTAAATTTAAAAGCTTCTGTGCTACAAAAGAAATAATCAGAATGAACAATCTCTGGAATGAGAGAAAATATTTGCAAACTATGCATTCAACAGGGGACTAACATCCAGATTTTACAAGAGACTCAACCAAAAAACCCCAAATAATCCCATTAAAAAGTAGGCTAAGGACATGAATAGACATTTTTCAAAAGAAGATAAACAGCCAACGAGCACATGAGAAAATTTTCAATATAACTAATCATCAGTAAAATGCAGATTAAACCACAATGAAATATCACCTTACACCAATCAGAATGGGTACTAAAAAGACAAAAACATGACATTGGGGTGCAAAGAAAAAGGAACTGTTATACGCTGTTGGCGAGAACACACATTACTACAACCTCTATGGAAAACAGTACAGTGAGTTCTCAAAGAACTAAAAGTAGAACTACCATTTGATCCAGCAATCCCACTACTGGGTATCTACCCAAAGGAAAAGAAATCATTAAATAAAAAAGAGACCTGCACTCATATGTATACCACAGTGGTATTCAAAATCACAAAGATATGGAATCAACCAAAGTGTACATCAATGGAGGACTGGATTTAAAAAGTCATATATATACACAATACTATTTAGACATTAAAAAGAATGAAATTGTCTTTCACAGCAACATGGATAGAAATGGAGACCTTTATCTTAAATGAAACAACTGAGACACAAAGAGAAATACTGCATGTTCTCACTCAAAAATGTAAGCTAAATAATGAGTACACATGGAAGCAGAGTGTAGAGAGATGGACAATGGAAACTTGGAGGGGTAGGGGATTAGCAGTGGAGTGGATGATGGGAGGTTGCTTGGTGGGTACAAGCTGCATTGCTCCAGGGACAGATGCACTGAAGGCACTTACTTCACCACAATGCTATATATCAATGTAGCAAAACTGCACTTGTTTCCCATACATATTTACAAAACAAATTTTTAAAAAATTGCTTAAATTATCAAAAGTATCACAACTCATTTCTTGAAAGACATTTTCTGCTTTCATTTTTCACCTGACATTCAATCCTCACACTACCGAAAAATGAATTTGCTTCTTAGTGTTTAAACAAAACTAACCTTTCCAAGTGATCAATAATTTCTTGGTTATTAGAATGAACAGATACTTTTCAGACCTTTGAGCATCTAATAGCAACATAATGCTCTGGTTAGTGGCAAAGACAATGGGCATGTAAATCACTGCTCAGCCACTTACTGGCTATTAGACCTTGAATAAATTACTGAACCTGTGTTTGTTTTCCAGCTATAAAATGAGAATAATACTTAGGGTTCTCAGGATTAAGAGATTACATATACAAAGCATTTAGGAGAGTGCCTACTAAACAGCAATCTATACAAGTGTTACTGAAACTTGCTTTCTTATGTATCAAAGACACCACTCTCTCCCGAGTTTCTTCCTCCTTCTCTAGACCATCTCTGCTTCCTATTCATGCTACTTTCTTTCACTGACTTCTTCAACATGGTTCTCTTCTCTTCTATGCTTTGGCTCAAACCCATCTAAATTAGAGACCCTCTGGGCTTCAAACTCCCCAATCCATTTGCCTACTGGACACTACTATTTATACATCTCTGAAGACCTTTCAAATTTGTCCAAATTGAACTCCCTAAATGTTTCTCCCTAAATATGTACCCCCTATTTTCTTCTCCTGGCTGGCTAGAAATTAGAAACAGAAGTTTCCTGAATTTCTCTTTGCCACTCTAGTCTAATTGTTTTCTAAGACCTACTGATTCTGCTTCTTTATCCTGTCAAGTCTAAAGCAAATCATCTATATTCAAATTCCTGCTCTACTACATTTTATCAATACAATCTCAAGCAAATTGCTTAACCTTTCTGAAACACGGCATCTTTAATAACAGTACCTACCATCATAGGTCTTTGTGATGATTAAATAATACATGTAAAGCACTTAAAACACTACCTAATGTACGGAAAAAAATGCAACGAATGTTAACTTTAGGTATTATTATTACTACCTTTTTTCAATCTCCTTCCCAGCATCCCCCCTGCCACTGGCCCAGATCATCATCAACTCTCATCTAAATTACTGTAATTGCCTCTTAACATCTTTCCACTAACCTTGCCTTCTCCAATATACTCTCTACCTAAAAGCAAAGTTTTTTGAACCCAAAGTAAATCATGTTTTTCTCCTGCTAAAACCTACCAAAGACTTCCCATAGTTTTTAGAGTAACATCCAAATTCCTCAATATGCACATAAGAACTGTTTTTTACACCAAAGGAAGGTACAGCACAGTCTGTTATACCGTAAGTTGCAGCTCAACTTTCCTGATCTGTCAGAACCAAAAGCTCTCATGCTTACATATCACAATGCTAATAACACACCTATTAATTTTAACTGGAGATCAGGTGATTGTCAGACCCCACAGAAATGTGATTACCTTTAGTTCAGGGCCTATACTTCTTCATCTTTGTACCTCAGAAACTTACTCCAATGTTTCACGAATTTGCTAATTGTTTGCTAAATACTGAAAAACGTATTGAAATATTCAATCTCAAATGTTACGACAAAGACAAAAACCATACCTAAACCAGTTCTCATGAATAAACTCAACATTAAAAAACTGCATTCCTTTTAATAGGACAAAGCATTCTGAGTTACAGAAATTCTTACCTGAATATATTTCTTGCTATAATTGTAACCTGGCTGTAGGGATCCGAAATCTACTTTACGTAATTTACTCAGCGGCTGAACTTCAGGCACCCCATTGACTTCCTTTATGAATTCAAGTGGCATATCAGTTCTTCTTCACACTGATGTCCAAAGCAAATTCAACTAGGGAATTTGACAACTTGCTGCTGAAGATACAAAACCAGTGTTTTATCCAAAATGCAGTCAATAATTTGCTCTAAGTCTGTTTGACTTAGTTATGCTTTTCCTTATTATGGTTAACACGGTTCAGGGTTCGGGGTGACAGGAGGATGGATTATTTTACAATTTTATTGCAAAGATCAATACAGGACATTCTTCCACGGAACTGAAACTTAACCATTTTCTACTAAGCTGCGTATTTAAAGTACCTCTAAAAAGCAAGTTTTAAAATCTGTAACAATGTCACTAACAAACGCCTTTAACATTGTGCTTTAAAATGTAAAAGTTATTGGGGAAGAGGGAGGCTGAAAAATCCTGGTTTTTTTTTTTAACCCCCACGGGAGCTGTAATATTGTATAGGCAAATTGTGCACCAAAAGCTTCGTACTCCAAGATGTTTCTGTGGCCTCCTCCCTTCACCCCCTAAATAAACTAAAAAACAAAAATTACTGAACTGAGATTAACTTGTGCATCGTAGGCTCCACCTTATTTACAGATCTTTTGACTGGGACACTCACTAGTGTCGATATCCAATTTTAACGTTTGCGCACCAACCTTCCCCCAAGCCATCTGAGCTCTGTGAGGGCGGGGACTTGGACTTAACTCTCTCTGCTCCTCCCAAAACACCAAGAAAGATGCTGAACACAGTAGGATCGAGATTAACACTCGTAAGAAAAAGTGTTTCTCTGCGATAATTACATCAAATTTGGATCTAAACTAATTCAATCCCGGGCCCCTTCCGTCTGGTACCCACTCAACGAACACACCAAACCTTACAAATTTTACTCACCGGCAGTTTAGAAACAACCCTAGGAAGAAGTTAGACGGGCGCGCACGTGACGTCACTCGCACGCTGACCGTCCAGCTCCACGCATGCGTGCAGGATCCCAGGACATAGCTGCTAGTTCTCCGCCCGCGGGGGCAAGCTGTGTAAAGGTTCACACACTGACGGCGCCTGGAGGTTTGGCGAAATATTGACAGGATGCGGCGCCAACGGAAGCGTAGGGCCAAGGTACAGGCCCCGCCCAATCCGGTCACATTTCCGGAATTCTCGCCGCTCCCCTTAGCTCCGCCCCCAGTCGCTTTCCAGCTTGCGTGACGGGAGGCACGTTCAGGGCCAGGGGGCGGGTCCGCTGGGCAGGGTTTCAGCTTCCGTTTGGTAGATTGGAAGCTTCTGCAGGCAGAGGCTTTCTTTTAATATCCAGTTCTCTTCCCGGAGGAAGTAGGCACCTACTGCAGTCTTTATAAAGAAGCATTTGCAAGGATAACAGTGTTATTTGAGAGTTTCTATAGTAATTTCGGGCATTGGCATTAATGCCACCATTGAGTCTTGCTATTTATAGATTTGTAACCTTGTCATTGTTTTATAGGGCTATGATTTTGTGGTATAATTAATAGTTATAAATTATAGGTTTATTATAGTTTCTTATGTAATATTTATTATAACTTATAATTGGTATTATAATTTATCATTTATAATGATAAATTGTTAAACATGAATCCTCTGCTAATTTCAGATACATGCCTTCAATCATTTAAGTGAAACCATCCTAGTGTGAAACTAAATGTAATAAAGAATTTACATGAATATTTCCAAGACTAATTTGAACTAAAATATCTTCTTTATATACATATTTGTAGGAGGATATAGCTAACTTTTTTTTCTTTGATACGGAATCTTGCTCTGTCGCCAGGCTGGAGTGCAATGGCGTGATCTCAGCTAACTGCAACCTCTGCCTCCCGGGTTCAAACAATTCTCCTGCCTCATTTTCCCGAGTAGCTGGGATTACAGGCGCAGGCCACCATGCCCGGCTAATTTTTGTATTTTTTTAGTAGAGATGGGTTTCAACATTTTGGCCAGGCTGGTCTCGAACTCCTGACCTTGTGATCCGCCCACCTTGGCCTCCCAAAGTGCTGGGATTACAGACGTGAGCCAGCGGGCCCAGCCAGCTGACTATGTTTAAAGTGCCTTTTTTATCAACAGGAAGCATTCAGTGTTAGCCCATCTCCCATTTCCCCTCCCCATCCCTGTGGTTATATCTCATGCAGAAGCCAGCGGTGACAAGTGCATGAACTCAGGAGTTGTCCATTTGAGGAAAACTGTAGGGAAAGTTTAGATGCGATCCTTCCATCTCTGGCTGCATCCAGCTGTGAAATACTGTTCTTTCTTTCTATGTGAAGCCCTCCACATGGGCTTTGGACCCTGACCACTTTCATCTCCCTTCCATCATCATCAATATATTTTATCTCAATGTATTTTAAGCTTTCCTTCTTTATTCATGCTTTCCTGTCACCATTTAAACACATTCTCCCAGGCTTTTGCTCTGTCGCCCAGGCTGGAGTGCAGTGGCAAGATCATAGCTCACTGCAGCTTGGAACTCCTGGGCTCAAGTGATCCTCTGGCCTCAGCCTTCTAAGTAGCTGGGACCACAGGCACAGGCCACCATACCCGGCCAATTTAAAAAAAAAAAAAAAATTGTGGAGACGAGTTCTCACTATGTTGCCCAGTTGGTCTCACACTCCTCTGTGGGTGTTAAATATTTGTTGAATGAACAAATGCTGAGAAAAACTGTTTATCTTACTTCTGACTTCCACCCCTCCACCCACCCCTACCCAGCACCACCCCATTACACTTAAACTGCCCTTAGAAAAACCACTGAAGAACTCTTTGTTGCTAACCCAAAAGGACATTTTTAGTCTCATATTTTTGAAAACATTCTTTGTGCTACAACATGGTCCTAGTTTTCCTCTTAGTTTCTACCAACTGAATCTTTTAAAATTTCTCATAATCTGTTTAGCCGATAAGTATCCCTGTTCTATAGAATGTGATGAAGATATCTAATAGAGGTATACGTAAGTCCTTTTATTTTGTTAAAGTAGTTGTTCTTAGTTCCTGTGGGACACAACACTTCCTACACGTCCAAGTAACTTCCAATCTTACTTCTTCTGCATAATCTCCCAATTAGTGGCAGAGGCTCCAGAGCCTGTAATGCTTTACCTCACGTTAGTAACTAGTTTCCACAAATGAAGAAAATTGCTCATGAATATACAGTACAATTTAAGATAATAAGAGAGGAAAAAAAGAGATTGAATCAACTGAATAAGGCAATGAAGACATATTAATGCCAAAACAATCCATTACTGTTATTCTATGCCTGTTGAAGCAGCACAAAAAAGCTACTCTAAGGCTAACAATTAATGTAATTGTTATTAGAAGTTATGACCTTTAAAGGTGCAATGAAAAAAGTTTTTATATAAAATCTGCAATGTGAAAATATTCAATTTTAAGAAAAGTTAAAATTAAATTTTTGTTAATAAATAATGAAGACCAAAAGCGGAATGAGTAATTTTTTAAGTGATGTATAAATATAAGGATTCAGTACAGTTATTATAAATCAAAATGAAAGAAATTAATCTGCAAATTTCTGACACATCTTCCCTGTCGTAGCATTTTCATATTATCCTTTACTATTTACTTGTTAATGTCTAAATGTAAAATTGAATTCCTAAGATGTCCGGCGCTTCAAATTCATTTCCTTTGCATTAATTGTGGGGTGATTAACCCATTCCTATTTGCAGTTCATCTGTCCTGCAAGCGGTTGTCATCAGGTTGCATTTCTAGAGCCTGACAGTATCATCTTATTACTCCTGAGATTTTTCTAGCAATAATAGCTAGGCTACATTAGTTGGAGTTCATTTCCTTGTATCGAATAGTCTTTGTGCCCAATCCTAATGAACATCTAAATGGATTTGTAAAGTCCTATTTCAATAAAGCATCAAATTTTTATATTGTTATGTAGCTGAACCAGGAGATAAATCAAACATAAATTTTTCTCAAATGTATGTTTAAGTTCTAAATGTAAATGGTAAAGCATGTAATCATTCATTGCATATTAGGAAGAAAATAAAGATATTTTTAAAACATAATATTAGGTACTACAAATTGAGAAAACATTAGTGTCCATTGAAGAGGTCTCCCAAAAGCTTTTGTACTTTAATAATAAATCTTTTTAATTTATTATTTTAAAATATCCTAGGCCAGGCACAGTGGCTCACACCTGTAATCCGGAGGCCAAGCCAAGCAGATCACGAGGTCAGGAGTTCGAGACCAGCCTGGCCAACATAGTGAAAACCTGTCTCTACTAAAACTACAAAAAATTAGCCGGGTGTGGTAGTAGGCACCTGTAATCCCAGCTACTCGGGAGGCTGAGGCGGGACAATTGCTTGAACCTGGGAGGTGGGGTTGCAGTGAGCTGAGATCACGCCATTGCACTCCAGCCGCAGCAACAGTGCGAGACTCCATCTCAAGAAAAAAGAAAAAAAAATCCTCATCAGTTACAAAATTGCCTTTCCTTCAATTGCTACTCATTTTAAGAATTGTCCAAGAAAAGAATAAAATAACCTAGATTCAAATTTTAATTATAAACTATAAGTAGGTCAATATATTATAGTGTATTGAGTTGTATAAATGAATTACAAATATGAACTTTCTCTTGTTCAAAGACTATTAGAAATGTATGACTTCCCCAAAAATATACATGTTTCCTCATATACCTCATGTATAACATTTTCTCTTTCTATATATATATATATTTTTTTTTATTTTGAGACAGGGTCTCACTCTGTTGCCCTGGCTGGCATACAGTGGGAAGATCATACCTCTCACCGTATCCTCAATCTCCCAGACTCAAGTGATCCTCCCACTTCAGCCTCTTGAGTAGCTGGGATTTTAGGCAGGCAACATTGTGCCCCACTAATTATTTTTAGCAGACGTGAAGTCTCACTATGCTGCCCAGGCTGGTCACAAACTCTGGGTTCAAGTGACCCTCCCACCTTGGCCTCCCAAAATGCTGGGAGTACAGATGTGAGCCACCATTTCTGATAACATTTTTTTAATATGTTAGAAAAAAGGTAATATGTAAACTTAATGAATATTCAGAGAACACTTACCAAGTACCTGAAATTGAGCAGGGCCATGTAACAATAAGTTAAACACAGCCAGGCGTGGCCCTAGCTGATTTGGATCTTGCAGTGGAGACAGAATCTCTTTTCAAAATTCAGATAAACCGATGCAAAATTTTTATTATGATGTGAGATACAAAGAATAGTCATGGTACTAGGAAAGTATGTAATGGAAGAAACTGACCTAGATAGAAAGGTCACATTAGACCTTCCTGAGAAGTAAGAATTAAGCAAAGATGAAAATACAGCAATAAAATAAAGGCAAATTTTAGTTCTCTGTAGTACATTTCAGTCCATAAAAACATATGGCTTCAAGCATACAAAACTGTGGGCTAATCAATATATACATATTTTTTATTATTATTAAATACTCTCTAAACCCTGTTGCAGCCTTAATTTTGGTCTTCAGATCAAATTCATCACTTCTTTTGTTATCCCTAGGCTGTAGACTGCCACAGATATAGCCCTCATATAGGCAGTGATTTTATGTGATCATGCTCAGATATTAGACACAAAAAAATACTCAGAGTGTGACTCTGGTGAAACTGGCTCATGTTAAACAAACTCACATTGATATTTTAAAAAACCTGGTAATACAAATGTATTAAATTCCAACCAAATGTTTTAAATTATTAGCTATATATCTGGAATATGGCATTATCTTCATATCAGTACTTATGAGGAACCGAATTATAAACACTTGGCTGTTGGGAAAGCATGGAATTTCGACACACAAAATGTTTTGTATGATCCTACAACCTAACATAATCAAGTCATGTGAGTTTGGTGTCGTAGTCTACTGAAGAAATACATGTGGATGTTCACATTTGTGGTCAGGGCACCATCTCCCCTGAATGTTTGCCTCTCAAATGGTCTCTTTTCTAGGCATGTAATTAACCTTTTTCAGATGCGTCCTGTTTTCTTTTTTATTTTCTTTCTGTGCCTTGATTTGGATTAGAAATAAATTACAGCTATAGCTCCGGTAATATTTGCAAGTGTTTGGCTATGCCATGTTCTTTCCCTTAGTTTTCTAACAATTTGTAAAATTCAAGACTCTGTATAATAACTGTAATCTCTCTAGTGATTCTGAAAAGACAGGGATCCCTTTCTTTAAATTTTCTCATCTATGGCAT